CTTCTGTTTTGTTTCCTTGTATCCACACTTTAAGTAAATACTCATAGAAACTGCAAACAGATTAAGTTTACAAATAGAATACATTCTACATCAGATAGTGAGATTTTAACAGTATGACAAACGAATAATGAAGAAGACAGAGAACAATTCAAGGACAGATGAAGTAACAAAACTCAACAATCACAATTATAGCCAGTCCATAACATTACAGATGAAGAAAGCTTGTATCACCTATCACCCATTGCACCAAATGTAACTGTTGAGTATGATGCTGCTGCTCCTGAATGAGGATTTATATATATGGGAAGTAAACCATCGCTAGGATATGTCTTCTGCAGTTGCCTGATGACCTTCTCCGCCTGTGAAAATGGCAAAATGATACAAAGAGGTTCCAGTACTAAGATCTTTCTTTACCATCCTTTGTACAAAATCAACAACCATGTCATAAAAGCATTTCTGAAACAATCGGATCAACAAAAAAAAAATTGCTAGCTATAATTCACATCTCTCTTAAATGGCATACTGAGAGGCTGCCCCTTGACAAACAATTAAATCAATAAAGTATCATATGTGTAAAGTCACTAAATAGATTTTACTAGAAACAATAAATAATTCGGACATTACGACTTTGTTGTTATTGTTGACGATGATATACCTAGTCAACATTATTTATCATGGGATGAAACCAAAAAAAGTGTAGATACATACTGATTAGAGATAATCCACTGCAAAGTTTATCTACAACAATCCATTAAAATCCTAAAAATGTGGCTCAACAGTTGAAACAAACAAGTCAAATCAGTTATTACTGTAATGATCATCACAACCCTTTTCCAGATATCACTGAGTTGAAAAAGCTACAAAAAAGGATCTACTAGAAACAACAACCAACTTAATGTAATCCATCAAAGAGATGCAGAGTCCTAGCCAATATACAGGTGCCTTGACAAACCAACTTGTATTGTGAATGGTAAACCAAAGTTTAATCGAAGTACCTTCTGCTGGTATTTGGGGTCTCCTGTCCTTTGGGACAAAGCTATAAATTCGAGCTGCTCAGTTCCAGAATCTGCTAAAATGCTTTCTCCCTGCAAAAAGAATATCAAAGCAAACATATTACATAAGGAAATTATCAGTAAAAGGCAAGTCAAAGATCAAATAATCAATCATGACTACAGAACAACATGCAGAAAGCAGTGAAACTCAAATAGAAGAAATTAGCCACAATCATGAATTATCTGAAACATAAGGAACAAAGACCAAGGTTCGCAATTTCGTACCATACCGAAATATCGAGATCAGCTCGGTATGGAATGGTACGAGTATACTGAGTGGTATGCTTTGGCGTACCACTCAGTATGTGTGTATATATATAATAAAAAAGTTAAAAGATTAAAAATAAAGGGCAATGTCGCCTCGTTTCTTCTCCCCGTGAAGCCTCGACGACGTCGTCGCCGAGGCTTCTTCTCCCCGCACGAATGAGGAGAACTCACCAACGGCGCCGAGACCACGTAGCCTCAGACGAGGAGGTGACATCTCATCTGCAGCATCCAGAGAGGGAGAGCAACGTCGGATCTTCAGGTTCTCCCTTTTCTTCTCCCTTCTTCCTTCTCCCTCGGCTAATACCGTACTATAGCGGGCGACGAAGGTCGAAATCAACCGTCACCGACCGATTTCGCGTGATATTTATGGTAATGAGGCGGAAACAACCCTAATCGACGGTACCGCCCAATATGGGTGGTATCATTCGAAATTAAAAACCCAGACGAAGACACTAAAAGAACTCTAAGAATAGCAAAAGATCTAATATCTATTTCAATAAGTTCTTATGAATGATGCTATTAATTGAGTTACATGTTTCATATTATGGATTTCCAATTATCAAGATAATTACAGGTAAAGAAGTCATGAAATCGATGTATAAAATAACGATTAATGATTATATCCTAGGAGTCACCATGAAAATATACCATATCTAACCTAACCTTCTCACATTCATTGAATTCATATTTTCGTACTAACGAAATTATAATGTAGACAATTCCAAGTTTCAAATATTTGAAAATTAAGTAATTGAACATTGACAAGATTAAACAAAAATGCTGACAGAAGCTCAAAGTAAACGTCCCCTAGGAAAACTTCTCCATATGGACTAAACAACAGCTTCCTTAGTCGAGAAAATATTGCTATTCATTTATGAATTTCAACATCAAAACTACAAGTTAAGAACCTGATATGAAGAATAGAGTTCTGAAATTACAAAATTCAATATGTTAACTATTAACATATTATTTAACATAAGAAAAATTTTGATCACACATTTCAAAGAATAACAAAACGGATTTCAAGATGTACCCCAGTCCATCCATGGTTATGAGGATTGCCATGAGCCAAGTTGATTCTATTGTATGGAATGCCAGTTGGTGTGTCCCATGCAGGTAGCAACCTATCAGCAATGTCTTTCGCTTTCTCCAGAAATATCTTGTCCCCAGAAAGGTCATAAGCACTAAGAAGTCCACCAACAACTCTGAAATTTGAATAAATAATATGGGCTAGATATGAGAAAATATATACACTTGGAGAAAATTAACAAGGCCACTTAGCTCTCTTATCCTGCAATGGCATGATGCATTTTATAATATAAATTAGGCAGAACTATAATTGGATATATCAAAGGTAAATATGTTCGACACAATACCTAGAAAAAAAGATAACAAATCATAAAATTAAACCTTATAACGCCACCTTATGGTTGTCTCGAAAACACTTGCTACATAGTCTTTGTTGAAATCTAACGAAGTTGCAACCCACCTGTCATAGACCACCAGTGAGTTAGAAGAAAACTTAAACAAGCAACAAATTTTCAAATCAAATGTAGAGTAAAATTAGTTGCTATGTATATTTTTGTTTTTGTATAAATAATCTCATAAAGTTTTCTTTGATATTATTTTGTTTCACACATAACACATGAAAAAGTTCCTATTTGTTTTTTTGTCAAGGGAAAGTACAGAAGTGCACAAATTGTCAAAACATTTGCTCATAACAGGCAAATATAAAAAACAAAGCCAAAAGTGGAAACACACTTAACACAAACAGAAGGAAAGCTCACAGCAAATTAAATGAACTAAAAAAACTAACATGGTGCTGTTACAACTTACTCTCTAGCTTTCTGAAATTCATCTTTTAAGCCCATTATGTACAGTGTATCAAGAGAGTCCACAAGAGTTGCTCCAAGACCACCAAAACTATTTACACCATTCTTTGTTTGAGGCTGGTCACAGAAGGAAAGACATCATGTAATTGATGGTGAAGCTTTAGACTGAAAACTAAGGGAAGTAGTTGATTCATGATTGAATAAACTCAGATCTCTCGATGCTACTGTGTTAAACAACCAACCTGAAGTTCATCTTGGCCCCAAGCATACTTTACATATGAGTTCCATGCATGAAGCATAGCCTCTTTAACTTTTTCTCTACGTTGATCGTTAATGGGATCAATTTCACTTTCCCAGACATTATCATTGTGAGTAACTTTGTCAGTTGTATGAGTAGAGTCTTCCCTCAACTGTTTCGAATCGCCTGCATTCCACAACTACAGGAAGCAACAGTTGAAGAAACATCCAAGAATCATTCAGCTAAAGGCACAATAGGAATAATAATAATAATAATAATAATAATAATAAAAGAAATGGTATTTACCTGATCCTGCAATCTGTTCAATTGTTCCTGAAGTTTGGTGATCTCTGCCTGCACGTTACATCGTATTAGACTTCCTAGTAGTCTGGTAGCACTTATATGACGTACTCACTTATTTGAATATTTAAAGACGGGGCAATTTCACAGGCAGACAAGAAACATGGCGTATAATCTCCTGATTGAAGCATGTATATATGAAAATGTATTCTTCGTAACATCCATTTAGGTCTAGAGTCTAGAATAGCCAAAAGGAGTCATTTTTATTGAACTAGTCATCAGGAACAACACCATCAGATCCCCTAACAACACCCGGTAATGCATGATCAAAATGCAAAAATATCAATCAGAGAAATAAAGGGCTCCATCGAAAACTTGTTTATAATAAATCCAATCGACATAAAGTGACTGAAACACAGATCTTCCTAAGAAATTAAAGAACTCAAAACCTAGCCCGAGATCCAAAATCTGAGCAAGATCGGAGAAGGGCAGAAGAGAGCCAGGGGAGACCTCGTGCTCCCGGACTAGGGATTGCCGGTCCCAGACAGCGAAGGTGGCGACGACGAACACGATGAAGAGGAAGGCGAGCCGCTTCGGCCGCTTCAGGTAGTAGGCGGGGTGGAGGTACCGCCACCGGCTGGAGGAGGAGGACCGTCGGGCCATCGCATCCCCCGACGACGGAACCCTGCCCCCGATCAGAAACCTAGAACTCGTCTTCCCTCTCAGCCTTCTCTCCCCCCCGCGATCGGATCTGCGCCGCGGCCCGGAATTGGGTAGACGAAGAACACGAGTTTCTTCCGCTGGGGTCGCTTTTGAAGGAAGACTTGACTCGTTCCCGATCCCTCTCTGGACGAAGTCTTCGGGCCCCACCACAACTTAACTTGTACGGCGAGATTATTATTATTATCATTATTACTATTTCTTTTCCTTTACCATTATTATCACATATTTATCCTTAGCTTTTTTGTCGTAATACATCAAAAACGTAGAATAACTAAAGGATATTGATGTCACTTGGAATTTTAGCTAATGCGATTTAAATATGCTAGTTTTTAGATTTCATAACTTATATTTGGAGAAATAAATAGAAAAATCAGTAATTATGAAAGAATATATATAATATATATATATATATAAATGCATAATAATGTCATTTAATTTTTTGTTGAAGTAACACAGCGTCTTGCGTGAATCTTGAAGATTCGAATCAAGGCTTCCATCCACGCAAATCAAAGCACCACGATCGAGGAAGTGCCCTTCAAATACCAGCAGAACACTTCTCCATAGTGAACGAAAAAGAAAAGATCACAGTGATATTTTGCAAGATGAATCACCCACAAATTAACATTTAACTGTAACAAGGTTGCCTTAGTATTAATACCAGCAAGGAGCCAGAAAGATCCTAATATTAACTCTCAGAATATGGTACATGTTAAATAACATTACACAATCTGGAAGGGCCAAGGAGGATTAATTCCCCTGTTCAACCAGCCATCTCTTCTTCACTGGAGGCTTTGGTTCTGATGGCACAGCACCTCTCATGATGTGTCATGACCGTTTGCTGCCACAGCGATCGACTGGGAGATGGCAGCTTCGGCAGAGTTGTTCTGCTGCAAAGATGAGTAAACGAAGGGGATGATCAGATTAAATGCGATATTGTCGGGTTATATAATTCCATGAAAGAAATGCAGAAGGCCAAGAGAGATACAAGGATGTTCAGAGATTTGATCTCTCTGTACAGCGATGTCGAGATCACTTACCCCTTCTTTTGGTTCTGGCGAAGCATTGAGAATAGCTGGAGATGGATTTTTCGATAGATCCCTCATTATTCCCTGCAAATACAGCAACATGATCTAAGGTTAATTGAAAGGCAAGTCATACACTCATACACGCACACAAAAAGGAAAACTTAATTTTCAAACCTATTTTATCATTTTCCACTTAATATTGGCGTGGAAAATAGCTAAATAGAATGCAAATGCATATTGACAAATTCTTCCCTCAAAACATTACCTGTTACCTCTCTTTCCGAGAAATAAAACTAACCATTCCTCATCATATCATAGTATCTACCCAAGCAGATTATGCAACACCCTAAAAGTTACTTTGGTTCCATTTCTTCAACCTAAGTTCAGTGATTTTGTTTTGTTCAGGGCAAAATTCTCAAGGGCAATATAGTGTAATTAACTAATATCATAGTCTACAACAAAAATTCAAGCTAATTTCAATTTACTAGATTGACAATGAGTTCACTATTGAATCACTAGAATGTTAGGCATGCTATGGAACTGGAGAGAGTCACTAAGACATTTTTGTAAAACTTTGCTCACAACAGAATATGCAAGGTAAAAATTGACAACTTCATGTGATGAAACTTTAACTGCCAAAAAGATGTTCCTTGATCATGTTAAAATAATCAAATGTGTTACATGACAAAAGAACAGAAATGAAATATTCAAAAAACTATGCTCGGATTCAAGCTTTCTCAGGATTTTTATAGAATGAGAAAGATGCCACACTTGTATAAATATGACAACTCTCACAGGCACACTAAAATGCAATGTCACTGTATACATAACACAAGAACAGTAAGCAATGTCAATATTAAGAAAAGGCATGATGGTCATGTTTTTATCGTATGCTAATTAATATGTACGGCACATATGAGAAGTATAAACACCCTTTGAACAAAGAAATCAAAACGAGAAGCTCACTACAAAAAATGAAAAAATGAATGGAATAACAAAAAACAATAACACTTGACAACAAAGGTTTAAAAAATAGAGATCAAGATTGGAATCAAAATCAGGATTGGGAAAGGTTTCAATGGAGTCATATCTAAATGATGAATTACAACTCAAGGTAAAATAAATTCAACAAAATTAAAAAATGGACATATCAAACAAATAGAATGTTAGCTATAGAAAAAACATCAAACACGAAAATATGTGAAATGTGTAATCTAGTAAAATGTGTAACCAATAACGATAAGAAAAAACGAAAATTATAGAAAACACAAAAAACAACTGATGTTTTAGATGTTAGAGAATCATAGAAATGTAATATATTACAAAAAACTTTGTCAAAAATAAATTTTATTTCACTAAATAGAAACAAACCTAATTTTTAGTTTTTACATGTACATAAAAACCAATGCAACAATGAATATATAGTCAATATTTAACCAGTAAAGAAAAATATATCTTTTATTCAATCAGGTTTTCTGCTTTTCTTTCAAGTACTGGCTCCTTTTCTCATATTCTCAAGAACTTTCTGTATTGTCTGTGTAATGCCACCTACTATAGTCTCTGAACAAAAAATTTATTCAAATCATCAAAGAGGAGTTAGCATGTCCAGTCAATGGACCAATCCCTCCCTCCCTCCCTCTTTCTTCATAACAATGCACAATCTCAAGCTCTAAATGCTGAATCCATCAGGATCAACCTATCCAAACAATTCATCCAGATTTGTTTATCCATAAACGTCTCTCATAAAACCAAACCTGTTGCTGGTGCCTCCGCTATCCCGAGATCAGCTCCAGCTGGTTAAATCCAGATTGTGGTCCACTGGTTTTTTAAGCTAAGTTTGATGAACAATAAAAAGAAGTAAAACAAGGAAAGTAGGATACGTATGCCCCAACTTCATCCCACCTGTTCTCTACACTGATCAAGGATGAACTCGTTTTGTCAGGAAAAGCAACCATATAATTACAAACCAATATGATTCAAAATAAAATGCAAATATGCTTGACGATGTTAAATATAAAAGAAAAAAAAACAATATATCACTCAATTTAAAGAATCAAAACATATGGACATTTTAACACAATTTGACAATCCATTCCAACAAGCATGTAAATAGTAGAATAAGAAATAACTTATCGAGGATTGACAACTATCTCATATAAATTTATTTTATACAGCTAAAACAACTTAATGTCAGCTTCAGATAATTATAATTGCATAAAAGATACAATATTCTTAAGAAAAATGTTTTGAATCAATAGTTAAATAAGCATAAGTTTATCTAAAACAATGCATCAATACCAGCAAAAAGAGGCCCAGTGAATCAAACAAGAATTATTACTCAAGAAGAAAGCTAAGAAGACATGAGATCCAAGACAATTAGCATATTCTGAGAGTCTACCTTGTTTGCCCACACAAGTCCACATGCATTACATAAAGTCCTCGGTCCATCAGGCCCACGGCGCATCATCGGCGTAGACTTTGCATTGATGCCACAGTGGTGACATCTGTGCAAATTCAGAAAACAATTATGTCAGGTATTTGAGGTTGAAGCAATTTCCAATATTCTATACATAATCAATTATGCTTAAATGTACAAGATAAATAGTCATTAGAAATTAGCAATCACTAGCTGAATATCATTTTCTCAAATGTTACTTATCACATGGATATTAAAATGAAATAAATCAACTGGCAAATTGAAACAGTTAACATTTGATGTATAAGAACACACTGGCCTAACAACTGAACTAAATATATTAAACTGAACTTAACAATTAATATGTTTTGTTCTTATGTATTTTTCTTCACATCCTCATTCAATAAAATTAAGTTGGATGTATTGCAACATCATGATTTTTTTCATTATTTTAAATGCCTTCAAGTTTTCAGATCAACATTTGGATATTTGGTTCTTTTAATAAGAAATACATTAAATGTGTCTTACAAATGCTTTAACTGATTAGAGAATTTCTAATCTCAGTCATTCTTCATTATCAGCGTAAACCATTTTTATTTTAAACAAACTAATTAAGACAACTGAATACCTTCTAAAACACATCACCTCCTAATATTTCACACTTCTGAAAAATCCAGAAATATGAAATCAATCTGAAAACAGAAAAGCAGAATCCAAGTTATGGACGGTGAGTATTTAACTAGACATTGTTAAAGTAAAGATGCCTACGCAGATGCCGCTGGGATCTTATTCTCTGGAGAACCCCAATTTTGGTTAGCATCAGAAGTGGTAGCACCACCTGTGGAATCTTCAGTCTTCGATTTAGATGATGTAAATTGACCCCTATTTCGTTGCATCCTGTATTACAAGTTGGAAAAAGAAATTAAAAAACATCATATAAAATGAACAGTAAGGAAAACAGAGAACAAGCCAAATGAGCAAAAGACTGGTTTTCCATTTCTGCAACAAGTGGCACATGGTGGTCATTAAGCCATGGCTCACACCTCACATCCCACAATATAATGTGCTAGAGCACATAGCACATATCAGTGATTTATGCAAGAAACCTACATGGCCTGGGGGTATAAACCTGAAATGGATCATTCAAAGTTCAAACAACTAATAGTCTTTACATACATACATACATACATACATACATA